CATATTTTATACAAAGTTTGGGAGTTTTGAGTATCTTGTTATGTCTTTCAGATTGTCAAACACACCAGCAATCTTCCAGTCCTATATTAATAGAGTGCTGGCAGGCCTGGTTGACATATGCTGTATAGTTTACCTAGATGATATTCTTATTTTCTCAGCCTTAGAGAGAGCACAAGAAATATGTTAGACTAGTTATGAAGTATTTAAGGGAATACCAGTTGTTTGCAAAGCTTGCTAAGTGCACTTTCAAAAGGCAAATGATCTCATACCTCAGATATATTATTGATAACAAAGATATTAAGATGGACCCAAAGCAGGTACAGATGATTACAGAGTTGCTCTTGCCATAAAGTTTTTATGATATTCAGATATTTCTGGGTTTTGCAAACTTCTATCAGAGATTCATACAAAAGTACTTGATTATCATGATATCATTAATAGATCTCTTGAAGAGCAGTAAAAAGAAAAGAAAGAAAGAATCTTTTCTTCTGACACTTACTGGCAGAAAAGTATTTCACAAGTTGCAGACAGTCTTCTCCAGAGAGTCTGTCATCCAGCACTATAATTCAGAACATAGAATATGTCTGAAGATAGATGCTTTGGAACATGCTGCAGATACAATATTACTACAGCTGTTTGAAGATGAGTGGCATTCAGTTGTCTACTGGTCATTCAAGTTTGACCAGATCCAACAAGTCTATGACACACTGAATAAGAAGATATTGGCCATCATCCAAGCATTTATTCATTAGCAGCAGTACTTAGAAGAAACAAAGTATTCTGTAGAGATTATTACAGACCATGCAAATCTTTATTTATTTATGAAGTCTACAAACAAGGTGGCACAACAACAACACATAAGATGGATAGAGATTCTCAGAATGTATGACTTTGAGATTCTCTACCACTCTGGAAAGCATAATCCAGCCAACACATTATCACAAAGACCAGATTATGTCAAACTAGAAGAAGACATTAATCTGCCAACATATACACTCAAACAATGTTACACAGATGGTCTTCCAGAGTGAGACTCATTTGAAGGAACTTTCTTTAATGAAGAAGATATTCAAGTACATGCTGCTTGTGCTGTCTAAAGCAGTAGGGTAGAGATGATACAGGAAAGATCTGGTGGCATCAAGATGATTGAGTTAGTTCAGAGAGCACCAGTTAAAGATGCTGGAGAGGCTCAATAAAGAAATTGCAGGAGATTCTGAATTCCCCATGTGCACACAAATATAGTGATGAAAAATAAAAAGATCTATAACAAATCAACTGTAAGCATGTTGAATCTGCTGCTAGAAGTACAGAAAGATGATTTCTCTGTACAAGTAAGATTCATTAAGACAGAATCTCAGCAGTCAGAGTGGAAAATAGACAAACAAGATTTTTTGACAAAGAGTGGCAGGATCTACATCTCTAATAATTCAGCTCTAAGACAGAAACTACTACAAGTCCATCACAACAATCTATTCACAGATTACTTTGATATGATGAACACATTTGTCTTGCTCCAGCAAAAATATAATTAACAATTGATAAGACAAGATGTCCAGACATATATACATGAATGCCAAACCTGTCAATGAGAAAAGACTCCAACACACAAACTATATAAGTTGCTTGCATCATTGCTGACACTCAGTGATTTCTGGTGTTCAATATCTATAGACTTTATAATGGATCTCTCTTCAAGTAGAGAGAAGAGGAACTCATACAATGCAGTTCTAGTTGTTGTGAATCAATTTACAAAACTTGCATGTTTTCTTGTGTGTAGAAAGAAGATTGATACACTAGAGATGGCAAACCTTCTGTTCAGAAGAGTGTTTAAAGACTTCAGATTTCCAAACAATATTATTTTAGATCAGGAATCTGTTTTCACAAGTGAATACTGGTCAGAGCTATATTTTCACATGAAAGTTAGACAAAAACTTAGCACAGCATTTCACCCACAAACAGACAGCTAAACAGAGACACTGAACAAGATTTTGAAGAGATATCTTCATGTCTATTGTAGCTATAGATAAGATAATTGAGAGAAGTGACTTGTGTATGCAGAATTTGCATACAACAGGTCAGAACACTTCACAACACATATGTCTCTGTTCAAAGCAATGTACAGCTTCAAATCTAGGGAATCAGATAAGATTCAGAAGTTGGTTGACAATAACAATGACATACAGATAACATCTGATGGGAGACTGAGAATAATCTCTGTGTTAAGAAATAGTCTGGTAGAATATTTGACAAAAGCAAAAGAGAATCAAGTACAGTTCTATAACTAAAGATATTAAGATAAAGTGTATGCATCTGGTGATGAAGTAATATTGTCATTAAGAAACCTACAAATAATACATTCTTGCAAGAAGTTAGATGACAAGTACTATAGATCTTTCTCAGTGATAGAGATTATAGAAAATAACATATATTAACTGAAGCTCTCTCCAAGCTATCAGATTCATAATGTTTTCCATATCTTATTGTTGGAACTATACTGCATGAGAATGAGTGAGGCACCAACACATTCTTCCACAGTACTGGTAGACAATTATTATGAGTGGAAAGTAGACAAAATCTTGAACAACAAAGCACACTAGTGCAAGAGACATTATCTAGTGAAGTGAAAAGAATTCTCTATGGAGGAATTAATGTGGGAATCTGAGAAAAATCTTGAAAATGCACAAGAAACTTTTAAGAATTATCTAAAGAAAAGACAAAATTACAAGAAGATGAACAAATCTATATACAGAAAGAAAGATAAACATGACACAAAACAAACATAAAGATTACAATATGCCTACAAAATCAAGAATTTAACAGCAAGAAGATGTATCACAAGAGCACTCAAGATATAGCCACAACAGTAGTGAACCAGCCATAAACAAGCAAGACTTAGAAGTCACAGGTATGTTTGGTACAACAACAGACAGAATCACAACAGAAGACACAGTCACAGAGAAAGATATTACAGACAAAGAAGTATAAAGAAAATAAAGTATTTCTATAATACTTCAAAAACCAGAAGAAACAACATTAGTTAGATAATCAATAGAAGATGTGAGATTGATCTAAGCAAAAGTTAGTCTGAGAACAAGTAAGATAATACAGAAGATTTATAAGACTGATTTCTATACTATCTTAAAGAGCTTTGATTCCACTTATCAAACAAGTCATAAAATAATCAAGCAAGACTTGAATGTTTGCAACTTCATTTTCTATCTGAGAGAGAACAGTACAAACTGAGCTTAACAAACAAGAGAACTCAGACAGGCTGTCTTTGATAAATTCTGTCTTGGACATGAGGTCCACAGTCTTGACTACATGATATGAGACAGAACAACAACATTTCATGAAAGATTCTTTAACAGTAGAAGTGGCTTGGCAGCAGCAATATTTAGCAGCTCCTGAGTTAAGTTCACAAAATTCATGCATGAGTATACTCCTGCACTTGACATTGTATAGATAACACAGATCAGCTGTATCAAAACTATAGTATTCTTCTTAAAGTTGCAAGAGCCAACAAACTAGTTCAACAGTGGATTCTGGAATCTACAGCCATGTCAGAACAACAAGAAGAACAGATAAAGACACACTTACATCATAACAGATACAGATTTGATATTCTAAACAATAAGAACAAGATTCCTTCTCAGCATTCTATAGACAAGGCTTGCCTTCATCCAGATAGTTCATAAACATCAAGTAAATACAAACAGAGTACAGAAGAGTGTCTTCTTTGTTATGTGTAATAGAGTCTTTCAACAACAATATTATGATAAGTTATAAAACAAACAAGAAATGATGCCTGAGCTCAAACAAAGCAGAAGAAAAGAAGAAAGAAGAGGGTCAGAAACTCTCTATTTATATCTGTCATAACATATCAAGATTGCTAGTTCCACAACTTGTTAATAAATAACATGATAATGGACAACAGATAATATAACAACCAGACAAGCAAACAAATAAAGAAACAAGTACATGATAAAATACTGGACTTTTGTAATAAAATAATTGCTGTCCTACAACAAAGAATGTCTACTGCAACCAGCAGTGATATGCATGTGAAATATCTATATAGATAAGCAGTGAGTAATGCAGAAGCTTACACATTCAAGAACCTACAATACTTCACCAATAATAGGGGAGCTATAATAATGTATGAAAAACCACTTCAGTGGCTCTATATCTTGGAGTCTGAGGCCTCTGGGAGGGGGGATAGTGTTACAAATATAGATCTAGACCAACTAAGCATCAGATGATATTGAATGTTCAGGGGTATTCACATGACCCCAACACTGAACATATAAGAATCACATGATTTGCATGAATTATGGAAACTCCAGCATTCAGTCTCCAAGTGAGGGGACCTCTATGTTTTATGCATGACTCTCTCCCATCAGTTGCAGGCATCATACCTACTTAGCTCTTTCATATCTCTAATCCTGGGAAAACCTACGTGACCTATGACCAGTTCACCTAACAGATATTGAGAATTGTAAAGCTATTGTGGACAATAGTATTGTTTTCTGATGGACAAATATTTGAAAAAAAGAAGGTGAGTATTTATCTTGTGAAGGGATACTCTTGTAGAGTCTGATTAAGAATGCAGATTTTCACAATGGGTCTTTATTTGTTATAAATGTAGATCTAGACCAACCAAGCATCAGATGATATTGGATGTTCAGAGGTATTCACATAACCCCAACTCTGAATGTATAAGAATCACATGATTTGCATGAATTATAGAAACCCCAGCATTCAGTCTTCTAGTTAGAGAATCTCTACATTCTACACACAACTCTCTTTCATCAGTTACAGCATTGTATCTACTTAGCTCTTTCATATCTCTAATTCTGAGAAAATCTACATAAGCCACAACCAGTTCTGCTAACATTCTGAACACTCTAATATATAATTAAGTCAGTATGATACTACCAAGACCCACAAGATAAACCACAACAGCATCTCACATTGCAGATCTGATAAAGGTAGACACCAATATGGAAAAGATAAACATTGATGAAGGTGCTGATAGCAGTAGAGCTACTATCAGTAAGACACCAGCAAATAATACAGGCAATGGAGATATATCTCTTAATACATTGGACAAAACTTAAAGAGAGAAGATCTTTAAAGAAAAGAAGATATAGTGGCAAAAGAATCTAGCAGACATATATAAATAAAACAAGATACACAAGCTGCAGAAGCAGATAGAATATAAACAAAGAATAATAAACAACAATTTCTCTTTAGAGTTTCTCTTACACACATAACTGATAGAGAAGTCAGATAATTTCAACAATGTGAAGCCTTTAAAAGCATCTTACTACTATAGTAAATCACTTGATAAGTGCAAATTGTAGTTAGCTTTAATAAGACAGCAGTTTTATCTGAGAAAATTATTACAAAAAACATCAGATGCAGTCAGAATTAATTAGATATTCAGTTATTTTCATAACAAACTTCAGATGCATTAGCAGATACTGAAAATAAAGAGAGAACAAGTACTCACATCATAAAGCAAATTCAAGATGTGATGTAAGAACAACATTAAACCTAAAATAACATGCAGTCAAGATACAATACAGTACTACCACAATGCTGTCCAACAAGAAAATTAGTTCATACTTTTATTTTTCATATACATCACTAAACTCAAGCAGAATCTGAATAATCTACCAGATGAATCTTTTTATATACTCTTTCTACAGACAAAGCTCAGATTAATTATCCAGACTGAACTTAATAAGCTGCAACACCAACCAAAAATAGTTGTGGAACTACAAGAACAAGCAACACTTATCAAGTTCATTCTAGAAAAGAAGAAACAAAGTCAGTAGAATAAGAATTAAAGTGAGAAGAAACAGAAAATCTCTATCTCTCAAGAGAAAAGTACATTTTAACAAGATAATAAAAAAGATTATTTACAACAAAGAAGATATCAGTAAAACTACTTTCAATAGTATTAGAAGAGAAACACAAACAACAAATAAACAAAAAACTCTGTCTAAAATATGGTCAACCAGATTATAAGATAAAGTTCTGTACAAACAGCTCCAACAAGTCCCAGCAGACAGATAAAAAGAACAAGAACTATGTAAAGACTAGAGCTGCAAAGCCCATGCAAGACCCAGATCAAATATTAGAAAGACAGAGTGTTAATCTAATAGAGAAGACAAGCAGGCACAGTATGTGTCTGTCAGCCACACTGACTACATTATCAGATGATTTTACAGAGCAAGCTGTACTGTTAAACTCAGGTACTATAGTGAACAGTATCTTCTATAAACTAGTGTTCCAATTGAACTGGGATCAACCAGAGACACTCATGGGAGTCATTAAGATATTGAACAGAGCTGAGACTGATTGATATAACATCTACAAAACTCAACTTACTATAACAAACTTCATAGAGATCACAAAAATAGTAAGATATACATTCACAGTAATTAATATTATGGAGCAAGCTGTACTGTTGGACTCAGATACCACAGTGAACAGTATCTCCTACAAACTGGCATCCCAATTGGACTGGGATCAACCAGAGACACCCATGGAAGTCATTAAGATGTTGAACAGAGCTGAGACTGATTGATATAACATCTACAAGACTCAACTTACTATAACAAACTTCATAGAGATCACAAAAATAGTAAGATATACATTCAGAGTAATTAATATGGTCAATATGAATATAGTTCTAGGTATGCTATAGTTAGAAGATTTTGATCCAGATATAGACTGGAAGAACAAGACATAATATTATCAACTCTCAGAGAAAACAGTAGAACTTCTGAATACAGATAGATTTCTTTAAGCAGTGTACATCAAGAACAAACTCTCTTATATTATTTTTGTATCAGACAACAACCAAGTTCTGACAGAAGTGCCTGAGTGATTGAGAGACTATAAAGATATTTTCTCAGAAGAAAAAACAGAAGAGTTACCAGAATTAATAAAGATCAGTCATCTGATTATTCTTAAAGATGACTGTAAGCTCTCATATATGCCAATTTATAGATTATTGCTCAAGCAGACAGAGATTATACAAGAGTATATTAAGAACAAGTTATGCAAGAGTTGAATACATTTATCACAAAGTCTAGCAGAAGCTTCAGTATTGTTTGCACTCAAGATTAATAAAGAACTCAGACTCTGTATTAATTATTATAATCTTAACATAATTACAGTGAAGAACTGTTACTCTTTGTTATTAATAGACAAGATGTTAAGCTAGTTGGCAGGAGCACACTACTTTTCCAAGATAAACTTACATGATATCTACTACCAGATTAGAATCAAAGAAGAAGATAAATGAAAGACCACGTTTTATATAAAGTTTGAGAGTTTTAAGTATCTTGTCATGTTTTTCAGATTGTCAAATATATCAGCAATCTTCCAGTTCTATATTAATAGAGCACTGGCAGGCCTGGTTGACATATGCTGTGTAGTTTATCTAGACAATATTCTTATTTTCTCTGCCTCAGAGAGAGAGCACAAGAAACACATTAGACTAGTTATAAAGTATTTAAGAAAATACCAGTTGTTTGCAAAGCTTGCTAAGTATGCTTTCAAAAGACAAACAATCTCATATCTCAGATATATTATTGATAATGAAGGTATTAAGATGAACCCAAAGCAGGTACAGACAATTATAAAGTGGCTCTTGCCACAAAGTTTTTATAATATTCAGATATTTCTGAGTTTTGTGAACTTTTATTGAAGATTCATATGAAAGTACTCAGTTATTATAGTACTGTTGACAGATCTCTTGAAAGACAGTGAAAATAAGTGAAAGAAGAGATCATTTCTTCTAACATCTGCTGCCAGAGAAGAATTTTATATGTTAAAAGCAGTCTTCTCTGAAGAACCTGTCATCCATCATTATAATTCAGAATATAGAATATATCTGAAAACAGACACTTTGAAATATGCTGCAGATATAATATTACTACAGCTGTTCAACAATGAATGATATCTAGTTGTTTACTAGTTATTCAAGTTTAATCAGACCCAACAAGTCTATAGTATATCAGATAAGAAGATGCTGGCCATCATTCAAGTGTTTATTTATTGATAGTAGTACTTAGAAGAAAGTATCTTGTAGAGATTATTACAGATCATACAAATCTTTATTCATTTATGAAGTTCACAAACAAGATGGCACAACAACAATACATAACATGAATAGAGATTCTCAGAGTATATGACTTTGAGATTCTCTATCACTCTGGAAAGCATAACCCAGCTGACATATTATCATAAAGATCAGATTATATCAAACTAGAAGAAGACATTGGTCTGCCAACATATACACTTAAATAACATTACACAGATAGTGTTCCAGAGTGGAATTTATTCAAAGAAACTTTCTTTAATGAAGAAGGTATCTAAGTATATACTGCTTATACTGTTTAAAGCAGTAGAGTAGAGATAATACAGAGAAGATCTGGTGGCACCAAGACAGTTAAGTTAGTTCAGAGAGCACCAGTCAGAAATACTGAGAAGTCTTAATAAAGAAATTACAGAAGATTCTGAATTCCCTATATATATGTGAATACAGTAACAAAAGACAAAAAGATTTATAACAAACTAATTATAAGTATGTTGAATCTGCTGCTAGAAGTACAGAGAGACAATTTCTCTGTACAAGCAAGATTCATCAAGACAGAGTCTTAGCAGTCAGAGTGGAAAATAAACAAACAAGATCTTTTGATAAAGAGCAGCAAGATCTACATCTCTAATAATCTGACTCTAAGACAGAAACTACTACAAGTTCATCATAACAATCTATTTGCAGGTCACTTTAGCATGATGAAGATATTTATCTTGCTCCAGCAAAAATATGATTGGCAATTAATAAGACAAGATATTTAGATGTATGTACACAAATATCAAACCTGTTAACAAGAGAAGACTTCAATGCACAAACCATATAAGCTGCTTGCACTATTACCAATACTCAGTGGTCTCTGGTGTTCAATATTCATGGACTTTATAATGGATCTCTCTCTGAGTGAAGAGGAGAGAAATTTATATAACACAGTTCTGGTTATTATGGATCAATTTACAAAGCTTGCACATTTTCTTGTATGTAGAAAGAAAATTAATATGCCAGAGATAGTAAATCTTCTGTTCAAAAGAGTGTTTAAAGACTTCAGATTTTCAAACAATATTGTTTCAGATCAGGGATCTGTTTTCAGAAGTGAATACTGATCAGAGCTATATTTTTACATGAAAGTTAGATAAAAACTTAGCACAGTATTTCACCTACAAACAGATGGCCAAACAGAGGCACTGAACAAGATCTTGAAGAAATATCTGTGTATCTATTATAGTTGTAGACAAGATGATTGAGAGAAGTAGCTTGTATATGCAGAATTTGCATACAACAGATCAGAACACTCTGTAATGCACATGTCTCTGTTCAAAGTAATGTACAGCTTTGAATCTAGAGAACCAGATAAGATTCAGAAGTTAATCAACAACAACATACAGATAACATCTGATGAAAGACTGAGAATGATCTCCACATTAAGAGATAGTCTGGTAAAATATTTGACAAAAGTAAAAGAGAATCAAGCATGGTTCTATGACTAAAGATATCAAGATAAAAAGTATGCATCTGGTGACAAAGTGATGTTATTATCAAGAAATCTACAAATAATATATTCTTGCAAGAAGTTAGACAACAAGTACTATAGACTCCTCTTAGTAATAGAGACTATAGAAAATGATGCATATCAACTGAAGCTCTCTTCAAGCTATCAGATTTATGATGTTTTCCATGTCTTATTGTTAAAACTGTACCACATGAGAATAAGTGAGGCACCAATATATTCTTCTGTAGTACTGGTAGACAATCATCATGAGTGGGAAGTAGACAAGATCTTGAATAACAAAACATGCTATCATAAGGAACATTATCTAGTGAAGTGGAAAGAATTCCCCATTGAGAAATTAATATAGAAATCTGAGGAAAATCTCAAAAATATAGAAAAGACTCTTAAGAATTATCTAAAGAAAAGATATAATTACAAGAAGATAAATAAATCTATATACAAAAAGAAAGATCAACATGACACAAAACAAATATAAAGATTACAACACATCTACAAAATCAAGAATTTAACAGTAAGAAGATGTACTATAAGAGTGCTTAAGACACAGCTATAATAGTAGTAAACTAGCTATAGATAAGCAAGACTCAGAAGTTACAGATATGTTTGATATAATAATAAATAAACCCACAACAGAAGATACAGTTATAGAGAAAGATATTATAAACAAAAAAACTATAAAGAGAATAAAGTATTTCTACAATACTTCAAAAATCAGAAGAAACAACATCAGTTAGGTAATTAATAGAAGATATAAGATTGGCCTAAGCAGAAGTTAGTCTGAGAACAAGTAAAATAATACAGAAGATCTACAAAACTGGTTTTTATACTGTCTTAAAGAGCTTTGATTACACTTATTAAATAAGTTGTAAGATAATTAAGTAAGATTCAGACATTTGCAACTTTATTTTTAATCTGAAAGAGAACAGTACAAACTGAACTTGATAAACAAGAGAACTCAGACTGATTATCTTTAATAGATTTCATTTTAGATATAAGATCTACAGTCTTAACTACATGATATGAGACAGAATAACAATATTTTATAAAAGATTCTTCAACAGCAGAAGTAGTCTGGCAGCAGCAATATTTAGTAGCTTCTAAGTTAAGCTTATAAAATTCACACATGAGTATACTCATGCACTTGATGTTGTATGGACAATATAGATTAGCTACATCAAAACTATAATATTCTTCTCAAAGTTATAAGAGCTGACAAACTAGTTTGATGATGGATTCTGGAACCTACAGCCATGTCAGAACAATAAGAAGAACAGATGAAAACATACTTATATTATAATAGATACAGATTTGATATTCTAAATCATAAGAACAAGATTTCTTCTTAATATTCTATAGACAAGACTTGTTTTCATTTACACAGTCTGTCAACATCAAGTAAATACAGACAGAGTATGAAAGAGTGTCTTCTTTATTATACATAACAGAGTCTTTCAATAATAATATTATAACAAGTTATAAAACAAACAAGAAACAACACTTGAGCCTAAATAAAGCAGAAGAAAAAGAAAAAAGAAGAGAGTTAGAAACTCTCTATTTATACTTACACTGCAATACACTAAAGTTACTAGTTTCATAACTTATTGATAGACAATATAACAATAAACAACAAATAATATAGTAATCAAACAAGCAAACAAATAAAGAAATAAGTACATGATAAAATGCTGGACATTTATAATAAAATAATTACTATTCTACAATAAAGAATGTCTACTGCAACTGGTAGCAATACACATATAAGATATTTATATAGACAAGCAGTAGTAATGCAGAAGCTTGCACATTCAAGAATCTATAATGCTTTATCAATAACAGAAAAGCTACAATAATGTACAAAAACCACTTTAGTAGCTCTATATCTTGAAGTCTGAGACCTCTGAGAGAGAGAATAGTGTTACAAATATAGATCTAGACCAACCAAGCATTAGACAACATCAGATGTTCAGAGATA